CCAATTAAGGCCTTAGTTTTATTTTGAAGAATTCAATGCCTTTTAAGACTTTTTAAGGACCCGCGGGAACCCTGTCACTCTACCCTCGATTATCAACTGCATGCTGGTGCTTTTTATGCTCACGTTGCATGTAATATGGTCCGGAAAAATGTATTACTGTATATTATTATTGGATTTAACAATTCTAAATCCAGACAAAAGTAAAAGGGAGAAAGATATAAGGAAGAAATATCCCAAGTGTTCCCCGGATCCACTATGATCATGACCGTTTCAACTTCACACAGTTCATATTGTAATCTTCAACAAAAACTCTAAACTTGGAATACATTTACAGAGTTCAATGGTCCATGCAAATAAAACCAAACACAAGGATTATTATTAAGTTTTTTTCTATACGTTCCGGGAAGATTAAAATCTAAGATCAGACTGAAACTCACCTAACACATAAATGCGGCCATGTAATGCGGTGACTCCCAGCGCACTGCGCCTGTGCCCCATGGAGGCGGCGAAGTTCCACGTGTCCGTTTCCACATCGTAGCGCTCCACAGTGTTCAGCTGGTTGGTGCCGTCATATCCGCCCATTACAAAGATTTGATTGCCCAGAGCGCACACACCTAAAAAAAGGAAAATAAGGATTACTTATGAATTTATTGATCATTATTTAGAGTGGAAACAGTCAAAAAGTGCAGCGTGTATCACATATATACAGCATGACTATCACTAGTGTAATCAGCTGGTTCTCCATGGATCTAAAGCGCTTTGAGATGACATATATTGTAAATTGGTGTTCTATAAATTGAACTGTATAATATTTTTAATAATAACATAATTTATAATTGAAATTCATTGATCTCACATTAGAGAAATTCGCTCTCTGCATTTAACCCATCCCATTGAGGAGCAGAGCACTGATACTGCGTGGCGCCCAAGGAGAAATGTGGGGTTAAGGGTCTTGTTCAGGGACTCACCATGCACACTGTGGGGACCAAACTGGATACATGCAACCTTCTCAGAGCACAAGCGCACTGCTCTAACCACTAGGCCAACACTTTGACAGTAAAGAAAAGTAGGCTGAGAGGATCCAGTCCAGAAGTTGGTTTGTTAAATCTTCACTCTTCATGAAGACCGAACATGAAATCATAGCATCCAAAGTTTCCATCCAACACTGTAGGATGGACACAATCACCCCTTGCAGCTGATTTTATATAGCAGAGGTGACAGGATGGCAGAAACAGGCCCACTGGGAGGACAGCGGCTCACTATACCTGTGTTTTCAGGTGTTTCGGCCACAGAAGGGACTTTCTAATCCGAGACGATAGGAGAAGCAGCCTGAGGTATCTCGCCTCTGTTCCCACACGAGCAATATGTCTTTAGAGGTGGAGCAATTGTTAACTTCAGAGGATCTTTTGTTTTCATGCTAATTACTTCACTTTATCAATTAGATTTTCTAATTCCTGAAAATGCCACCATGGTTCAGACGAGTTTGCCATTTTCCTTTCAGTCAAAGCGACGCAGCAGACCATAAACATCATGGCGGCGCCTGTAGGCGCCAGCCTGATACGGCTCATGACAATTCCACAAAATATGCATCATCAATGCATTTTTTTTTTCCTTCTTCTCCCACACCGTTTACATTTGATCACAGCGGCACTTTAAGGAATGGAAATGTCATGAACGTTGTACAAAACGAAATTTCATTGCCTAAAACTAAATCCAAGATGGAACCAAAGTCAAACCCAATCAATAACCATCTAAAAGGCATTCAATCAAAGTCAAATAAAATACCCTTATATGTATGCCAGAATTAATATGTGCATTATTGCGATCATCTGTTGTGTTTGTTTCAATGTCAGGTAAAGAACCTCAGAAAAATGGTCAGATTCTAAAAACAGCAGCAATATTTTTAAAACGGCCAGTCTAACAGTGTTTAACTCATTCCAATGATGATCAATTAAAAATAAATCAACAGATCAAACAATTAGAAAAATGGTTGTTTTTTGCAGATCTACAAGCATGCTAACCTTTAGCAAACACAGTCACTAGGAGCCAGAAGAGAGTTTATTTAAGACTTCAGCTTTATTTCTGTCTTAGACATGGATACCACACCATCACTCGTAATAAATGCATCAAGTGTTAAACTAAAAGGTTTTTGTTTTGTTTTGCAATTTTAAAGCTCCAGAGTTTTTTTTTTTGCCAAAAAAGTTAATAAAAAGATTCTTAGATGTTAAATGGAGACAAAAAAAAAGAATATTTGATTGGGAAATGAATGGACGGTTCATTGCAGCAAGTCTTCCCTCTTGTGCAAATGGACCACAGCAGAAGGCAGTAAAACAAGGCTTTTAAAAAACTTAACAGACATTCACATAATCCTCCTTTGGATTTATAGCTTAATATTTTGGAAAAATAAAAACACCAACAAAGGAATATTGATTGTATCTACTTTTTACTTCTGCAAAAGTGAAGGTCATATGAGGCTAGGTGAAACGGGAAATGTTGGCTAACTTCTGTCACTGCAGGATTATTTGTAACCTTTAATAGATGAAGCTGAGATCAGACTTTATCAGTCTATATAAATCTGTTCCTGTCTGTCTTGTAAAGGGCTTTGAGATGACATTAGCTCTAAAATGGAACTATATAAAGATTTTTTCAGAATAAAAATAAATAGCTAGGAAAGTTTCATATCCTGGGCAGCTGGTCTGATTCTGCTCTCGATCAAATGCCTCATTGTTTTCACAAGCATAAACCAAAATTCCTTGTGTGGCAAATGTTTCTAGAACTTTAAAAACAAAGTGGGAATATTGCACAACCGGTTGTGCAACGTTCCAGCCTCACAGTTCAGAGGGTTTATCATTACAAAGCTGGTTTTCCCCTCCTCCTCCTCCTCCTCCCCCTCAGTGCTTACCAGCTCCAGACCGCACGGTGTTCATGGGCGCCATGGTCCTCCACTCGTCCCGCTCGGGGTAGTAGCACTCGCAGGAGCTGAGCCGGTTGGCGCCGTCGAAGCCCCCGACGGCGTAAAGAAGCCGGTTAATCACTGCGACGCCCACTCCTATTCGCCTCGTTAACATCGGGGCCACCAGCTGCCACTGGTCTCGCTCCGGATCATACCTGTGGGACATGACATGTGCTTTATGCTGCTGCTGTAAACTCAAAAGGCAGATGTCTGCTGAGATTTCTGAGAAGTCACAATAAGCATCCTTTATTTCAATTCATCTATCATTTCCAGTTCATTCTGATTTTTCCCTCCTCCTACCACTTTACGTCAGAGTATGAATCTGTACGTCCAGCTGTGTCGCACTAATTTCCTCTTGATATCTGCAGTCTGTAGATTTGCTGTGATAAGTCACCCCCCTTACTATCTAACAATTAAGGCAGGCTGTTACTCTTTCACAGATGATCTGGCTTAATCAGTCAGTTATTCTTATGTCTGGATTAATGTCAGTTTGCTTTGTTTTCAGCCTCAAATGCAAAACATAATCAATCCTCCATGAGAAAGTCATCATGGCTAAAGATTGAACCACATATCCAGGACTGTCTTTTGATATGCAGTTGTTGTAGGTCTTAGCTTTAAAAATAATCTAGGATTACTCCTAAGTTGAAAATTGTTAAAGGTTAACACAATGTAATTATTTGTCTCAAATGATAAAACATTTTCTTTGATAATTGCTTTATATTCAGCTCCATCCATACTTCCATTACCACAGCATGATGCTGCCAACACCATGTTTAAGCAGTGAGGATGGTAGAGCAAATAAGACTTCCTATGGCTTTCAGTCAGCATGTTCTGTTGTCTGAGCTTTGGGTTTTTGCATCCCCCCCCCTCTCATAACTGCACCTCTTATTCATTTTCGATTTTCCAAGTCTAGAAGTTTAGGTGAAAAGCCGTGTTTCTGTACGTTTGTATCCATTTTCACACCCCTCACTTTTTACAGATTTAGCAATGATCCATGAGATGTTTGAACCCCTGGATCTAATTTATAACCCAATTCTGCTTTAAATGTCACTGCAGCACTCTGCCTCAATTCTTTGCTCTTTATGAAGTATATTTATGTTTATTCTTTTCTAATCCAGGTAAACAAAAACTTTGTTGGCTTAGCAGAATTTCTGTATCTTTTCTGATGCTAAGCTATGTGCTAAGAAAGTGATTTCTTGTATCAAAGCAAATATAACTGATTGCCGGACTTTTCAGCTTTTTGCTTATATAAAGATTTTTAAACCCTATTTATTATCTTTACCCTCACAATCAGATGCTACTTTGTGTTGTCCCATCACATAAAACCAAAATACATAAAAACATTACATTTAATCTAAAAGTTTGAGGCGGTACTGGAGGACAGGAATGCAGCTGCGTTATTTTTCTTGATCTGGTGATGTCACTTCATGTGTTTGGGCTTAAATAAAGCAATCAAGGAAAGACTAGGATGATATTAGTATGTCGTAAGGATTTTTAAAATGCAATATTTTGCTCTGTGGAAAAGTAGCATATAAATAACCCTGAGCAAACTTCAGACAGATTCCAGGAAGTGGAAGGTCACTGAAACATTTCCAGGAAGTTTTCTAATGGTTGGGGAAACAGGCGACATACCAAAAACCTAAGTCTGCACTATAAATATCACCTTCTGGGAAGAAGCAAACCACTAAAACTCCTACAAAAAGACATCTAATCATCACGGATCAAGAAGCTTCAAATAAAAGCAGAACTTCCTCAGATTGCACCTGTTGGTATCAGCTGCCGTTAGCAGGGCTCCATTACCTTTCCACGCTGTTATGATGGATGCATCCGTGTGATCCGCCAACGGCATAAATCATGCCATCGATGACGCCAACCCCGATCCGGTTCCTGGGAACGCTCATGGGCGCGCAAGGAAGCCAGCAGTTGTTCATAGGGTTGTAGCAGTCCAGAGCGTTGGAGTCCATGTTCCCGTCCGGCGCGTTGTTTCTGCCGCCGACTGCGTAGAACAGTCCGCTGATCACGCAGGCCGCCAGCCCGCTGCGGGGAACCTGCAGGTCGGCCAGCCTCAGCCAGGATCCCGTACAGGGGTTGTAGGCCTCCAGGTAGCTGAGAGACTGACGGAAATACCCGCCGGCTGTGTAGATGAGCTGCGGGACCTTGGGCGTTCGGCAAGGAACCACTTTGGTGGGTTTGTGGAGTGTGAGGTCCTGGAAGATCTGAGCCAAGTAGTCTTTACACTGAGGGTCCCAGTCCAAAGACTGGAGCTGAGTCTGCAGGAAGTTGGGAGTGAGGGAATGGCAGCGGACAGCCTGGAGCAAGGCTTGGACGTACGGCCGGCGGTTCTCCTGGTCGTAGTGCACCCAGGCCACACAGGCGTGGAAGACCTCGGACTCGCAACGTACGTTGAGCTCGTCGCGGCTGATGAGGTTGACCAGCTGACACTGGGACAGGTTAAAGAACTCCTCCTGGGTCGAAACCTGGGAGAGGAAGTAGAGACGCTTTTAATCTGTTATGCAACTTCTCACTGGAATGTGTTTGTAATTCAAGTGTTGATTAAAATGTCTTTTTGAATCACACAAGCTTTTAACTAATCAGAACCAAACTGCAAAGCAAAGCTTGGGCTCCAAACATTAAACCATGCTCTCGTTTCCTCTATTTTCCCAGTGTTCACCCATCTCCGGCAGTAAGGTGTGCTCTGACCTCAAGTAAACCCTGTTATGAGAGATCATGACTCATCGCGTTATCATTACATGCAGGTGTGAAGCCGAGGGAGGCCCTTAACACTACAACTCCTAAAGCAGCAGTCCTTTTGACGGTTCTGAGTTTTTGAAGTGAAAGAACTTTATTTACATTTAGACGGACAGATTCATTTTGTCATTTTGTAAACAAGTGTAAATAAAAAGAAATTTTGTTTATTACAGCTCTCTAGACAATTTCATTCTTTAAAGTGCAGCCTTGATAAGGTAAGCAGCAGTCATAAAAAAAAAAACAAAACATTGCGATATTAACTATATCTAGTTATGGAATGCGCCTCATTCATGTTTGCTTGGCAGCAGTGATGTCAGACGGATCTGGATAGGATCTTAGCATCCAAATGGGATTTTTACCCTGGTGGGAGAGGATCTGGGGCCTGATTAGGGGCCTGCTGCCTGGGCTTCACCCCATCAGTTGTTGTTGAGCTGCTACTACTGCCTCCAGCTCCTGAAGCACTCGCTTCTCCTGGCTCAGGGGAAGCAGAGGACGATAATGATGAGGATGATGCCTGGAGAAGGTGTTGAGGAGCCGGGTGGGGATGTTTAAAAATTTGTGCTCTCCTCATTTATCTTATGTTGGTCATTTTCTTATTCTATATTTCCCCCATCTTCACGTTGTTTTTTTAAGTAAAATAAAAAACCTAAAAAAAAAACTATTAGTTTAGTTACTATTAGTTAAGTAACTATTAGTTGCATTGTAAATTCTTCCTGCGGATGATTGACATTCATACCGTTGCCTAGCAACCAACATTCTACCTAGGAAACTCTGGAACTCTTTGGCTAATATGGAAAAATGGCTTTCAGAAAAAAATGTCACAGCGGAACTGGCTTTAAAAATGCTTCAAAATATTAATGATAGCGATTCGAGTGGAGATGGAGAGGCCGACAAAAATTGAGGTGGATGTGTTGGATCAGATGATTAGAAAGTATTCTGTAAAAGCTCCAAGGTGGCACAAAGATGGCCTTTTACAATCTCCTGGACATAGCAGTTCTAAACCTGTTGGTTTTGTTCAGGAGCTGTTTGAACGTCACCGTCTCACGCAGAGATTTTATCCTTGGCCTGGTAAAACAGTTGCGTGCCAACCACATGCGCTCCAGAGAGCCGTAATTTACCAATCCCTCTGCCACAGAAGTGCAGCTTTGTGAGGCAAAGAAAACAGTGCAAGGTGCCTCACATAAAAAAACAAACAAAAAAAACGCTCATATGATGTTTGTCTTAAATGTGAAAAGGTGGTGTGCTGGAAATCCCTTTCTGTAAATAAAATAGTAATTTCAAACTTTGAACCTGTAAAGTAAAATGGTCTTATTTATTTTACTGATTTATTCTTAATACCAATTTAGAATACAAATAATAATAATAGCATACAATACATTCTTTAAAAAATATATATTACGGTAGACCTGTTTTAAAGTTTACATATCAACAATGGATTTTTTATGGCACAAAAGAACCATTTCAGTCGATGACATCACCCCTATTCTTGGATTCTATTGGCAAATGTGTCACTCATCAAATTGACTGCCAGTGGGAGTTCTAGTCCGATCAGAATTCTGGGAGTTTTAAACCCAATTTACACTACCCTCTGAAACTCTAGATGACGACTGACACAAACATCCAGACCCATAAGCATAAACCCAAATTTACACTACCCTCTGGAACCGATCCAAGCAGAGTTCGGACCCAGCTTGGATCAGTTAACCGTGCGGAGCTTGGTTCCTTACGACCATTTAATGCCAATTTATGCTTCTGAGGCATAGCCTCTGCAACCGTCAAATTCGTCTCTGTGCACAACCTCGCCCCCCGTGCAGAGGTTCTGCAACTGTCGTTGCGCACCTAAAAAAAGTCCTGACTACACGTCTGATGGTCGCAAACCGGCAGACGTGCGCAGACAAAAAGCAGTTGTGATTGGTCCTTGGTATGCCTTTCTAGCTGTCTCTGGGGTCGTCCTTCTAGATTTGGTGCCGGTGCGCGCCATTTTGAAAAACCAAGGAACGACTACAACGGACAACTACGACAAAAGGGTACTTGGTCTTTTTGCCAACTCCATTAACAGAACCTGTTTCTCTTCGATGTCTAGCATCCATCTAGATCCATCTCCGTGACCGTGATATCTTTCAGATGTGCAGCCGAAGTTCTGATGACCATCCACCAAAGTTCTCGCGAGTTCTTGAATAGGCTCCAGCTTGCACTTTGACAGGAAACTGCTGTGCATCCCTAGAAATTCCAGGCTGCCAATGCAGAAGCATACCAGCAAAACTGGTTCACGGCCAGACCCAAGCAACATTTGATGTGTGCGGTTGCAGAAGTATAATCTGCCCTTTACACTACGGTTCCTCTCCTCTTAGTGACGATCTACGGTACTACTACATTCAGAAAGTTTAGTTATAATCATTATATCTTGATGTTTGCGGCTAGTCAAGCAAAGAAGGCAACCTCTAGTGAATTTACTTTGCAGAGTCAGCTTTTGGGAATCGGATACGACAAACGATAGTCTAATCAGGGCTTACCCCGAAATCCCACATCCTCTGCAAGTGCCCTGCTCCGCTCCAGACCGCCTGCTCAAAGCAAAGCCTACAACCTCCGCTGTTAATCCCATCCTGCTCCGCTCAGACTTTCTCTGGGCTTGAGGAGAGCATGCACTATATTACTATTAAATTCATTGGAGCAAAACATGTGGTGATTAATGCTTAATTTAATACGACATATAAAAAAATATCCGCATTAACATCCAGCATATGTGCAGTTTGTACCTATAAAATTCCTTTTTGTTGTGGATTTTTGTAACAGGGATAACTAGGATCCTCCATGGTTTGTATGAACTATGTTTGTTCTCAGCATCTTTTCATCCATACCTGCGATAAGAGGTTTGTTTGAAGCTGTGAGATGCGCCCTTGAAAGTTGTTGTGACTGGATTTGATTAAACTTTTAAGCCTCTCGGTACAAAATAAATATTTTGATGGAGATAAGAAATCTCCTTACTGATATGTTTAAGAACCAATAGTTTGGATCCAATCCTTTAATTAAACGGTCTTAGTTTTTGGGAATGTATAAAATTATGCTCTAATTTGTAGTTACCACGGCATCGTTACTATGTTTCAATTTGACAAACCAGATCTTCTCAACATTCTTTTTCATGCTTGGTGTTATTGCAATTGCAGAGCCTGACCTAGCTGGAAAGGAGCGCCGCAAAAAATATCTGTGCTCTGTATTTTGACGGAGAAGGACGAAGAAGACATACATGGAGGGTGACGGGCAGAGGAGTAGCGGTGGATGTGGAACAGCTAAGTGGACAGAAAAGTACTCCGCATGAAGTACGTGGGGGCAGCGGATCGGAGCGCTGAGGGAGTATGTGGAATATGGGGGTTACAGATTCAAGAAACGACGACAGACGTTGAGGTTCATCACACTGCTAAACAGAATCATCACTGGAAATCGTTTGGCACGTTAGGGAAGCTAGTATTTTTATGAATGTCTGACTGTAAGGAGATGGTACGGTCTGCTCATGCGCTCTTTGTTATCAGAGAACCGAGGCTACGGCTGAACCGTGCCGAGCTCTACTGATAAACTAGTACTAGTTTAGTGTGGTTCGCTTGTGTCTGATACTGTCCAGTTCAGTTGCGTTCCATCTACCCTGAACAGTAATCTCTGTTACCGTGCTTGGATCGATCTCGGCACGGTTTCAAATGGGTAGTGTAAATGTGGCACTAGTGTTAAAAATCGAACACTGACAGAGTAGAGCTGCTTTTTCAAAAACATGGCAGACCAGAGTTTCAGAGCAAAGTCTGTTCTTGACTTCAATAAATCCATGGTTCGCTTCAACAGACCCCGCTTTAACCTGTGTGTCTGTTCGGACAGGAAGATTCTCCCTTTTTGGTCGTACCTGGCTGAAGTTCATGTAGATGTACTCTCTGGCCTTCTGGTGGAGCTCTGTGCAACTGATCTGCTCTGCGAAGCTCGCAATGCCAATGGCGTTGCTAGGGTCAAGCTGCTGTACAAGGAAGTCGCAGCAGGCCTTGACCACGCTGTCTATCTGGTACATGACGGCTCCGTTCATCACGTGGATGACGCACTTCTCCCCCACGGAGATGCTGGCAGTGTAGGCGAACTCGATCAGTCGGTCCATGACCTGCACAGGATTTGAGGCGGAGTTAAGGTATAAGAAGAACACAAAAAAAATGCAAACATAATAATGTATTTTTTTTCGACATTCAACTGAAGCAACTCACTCTGGGGTGAATCCCTTCGATGGGAACCAGTTCCATGCCACACTCCTTCAGGCCGTTGGTGAACATGGCCCTGAAGACGGGCGATGATGAGGCCAGCACCACCTTGTGAGCCACGAAGTCCACCGCCTCGAGGTCCTTGTAGCGCACGCGGAGGGTGACATCACACAGCTGCCTCTCCAGGCGCAGCTCGTTCATGATGGCGAAGGCCGCCGCCGTGTGGCTCTCCAGCGTGTAGCTGAAGACGCGGTGACCGTTGCGCGTGGATGGAGTCACCAGCGCCTTGCATTCTGTCAGGCACTCTGTCATTTCCTACCTTCCCGCTCTGCTCCACATGAAACCCCTCTCTCATGAACTGCGCACGGCGTGATGCGGCATCCCTGCACCTCATGCAGACGGGTTAAATAAAGTAAGGGTTTAAAGCGGGGGGGGGACTACAGAAAAGCTATCAGGTTTAACAGAGAAGTCTTTTTAAATGGTTCATTAAGGCATCACAAGATACTTGGATCCAAATTCCTCCTCGTTGCTGGGAGTGGCGTTGCGCTGAGCTCCAACATGGTGGCACTTTTCAAAGCGAAGGAATCCTCTTTGCAGAAATGGAAAAATAAGGCCGGAACTAAAACTCAAAGCAACATTCAGTTCAACTGTTGGCTTTAGCTGCGCTGATGCTTTCTCACAGAATTCCTCAAACTTTTGAATCGTTCCTTAAAGGTACAAAAAACAAAGGGGATGGCACATAATCCAGAGCGGCAATAAGAGTTTAACGTCTGGCTGACAGGAGACAAGCCAGATAGCCGGAAGGTTGTTGACTCCTAACAGCGATAACAGAGCCAAATGTGCTACAAGCTTCACTTGGTGTCCCTTGGACCTGAGGCGAAGTGAGGGGGTGGGGGGGACAGCTGAGACGACGGCCTTTGCTCCAAGTTGCCCAACACTGGAATTCACGCCGCTGTGTCAACTTCTAAGAACTTGGTTTAGGTGACAGCTGAGAAGAGAAGAAGAGAGGTTCAGACACAGTTCCCATTCAGAACTATTCATCTCACTAGAGACTGAGAGCAGGATTCATGAGTTGAAGTTTTTTTCACCCTCTCTTACCTTCAATACCCAAAACAAAACACAATAATAACAACTTTAGAAATTACAAAATCACCATTCATTTGTTTAATTTAATTTCAGTGTAAATCTACGGGCTGCAGACATCTTCACACCTCGTGAACGTTAGCCATAACAGCTCCTGTTTGCAGATTGCCACAACTCATGCAAATATCCCACCTGTAAATATACCGCAGGAAGTGAGACAGAGATGTAACCTTCCATGCAAAGAGGCTGCGCGTTAAAGAAAACACAACGCACGTCAACCTGAACAAGAAAACGGCCAATCAAACTGTGGCGATGCTTAGATGGTACAACAACGAGCGAATCCTTGAAGGAAAACCTTTAACTAGCAGAAGAGGGCTGCTTAAAAAACAAAACACACCTGAAAGGAAATTTCAGGTGTTTAGATCGAACAATGTTGATTAGTTAGAATGGCCTAGTCATAGTTCCAATCTAAATGGGACTGATAATCTGAAAAAAAACTAAAAAAGTGATGTTAACCAACATTTTCTATAAACTAGATATAGATCTAGAGCATCAAAAAATGCAGATAAATTGAAGTTTTAATGATGCCGCATCAAAAAAATGTCGAGAAGCTACAAGACGCGTAACAGACAGAGTTTAATTTACCATAATGAAAAGTCCTAAAATAATATTTAAAAAAAGAGTGAATACAAACACCTGAATTGACCCGTGGACTCAAAATCTTTCAAAAAAACCGAAGTATTGGAACGATGCGATCCCATCTGGAAGAGATTATGAGGCCCATGACTGAGAACAGAGGAGAATGGAAGAAAGGAAGAGGGGAGGCTGCAGGGTTTAAGCTGGGCTCGGGTTCAATCGGCCAGCATGACTTTGTGTTTTTTTTTTTATGTTTTTCTCTGTCCTGTGACCTACCCATCCCAGGCTAGAAAAGAGGGAATATTTCATGCAACAACACACATATCAAAGCAAGCTCTGCACATCGTCATCTGAAACGGACTATGAATAATTATGCTTGAATTGAAACCCTGCCAATGGTGGCCACAGATAATCCTGCTGATCAGCTAGATGGAAAATTTGGCCTAAAATGAAGCTTTACTCGTGATACTAAATGCAGACTCTTAGTAGAGACTCAGGCAGGTGAAAGCTTAAGCTCCACAGAGATTCAATTAAATTAACGCCACACATGACTTCCTCTTTTCAGACCACGACCAGCCTGCAACAGCGAACCAACTGTAACAGTCTGGTGACCGCTGGAAAAGGAGGAATCACAGCAACATTAACGCTCCATTATACAACAGCACTGTGTTGCATATGAGCAGCCGTATAAGCATGCACTGATCACGGATCTGCATGTTTTCTTTTAGGCAACTCCTGCTGTCAACAATTAATGACGCGTGGAACGTCAACAAGGAGCTCGTCATGAGTCAGTCAGCCAGTGGGACCCACTGTAATATGAAACATGTTGTGATTCACGGTGACTCCAGCACTTTTATCTCTCAGTAACAGTTCCGAGTAAAACATTTCCAGAACAGAACACATTGCTCAACTCCTGCTCCCTCTGTGCAAGGCACAGAAACCTTTGAATGGCAAACAAGCAACTCGTGTATCACCATGCATGTGATAAAAATTCCTCAAACACCACTATCAGCTAAATAAGCTTTTGCCAAATGTTTACAACTATTTTAGCTCATTTTTATTTTTATACGTGGCAAAAAAAAGCCCACTAGACCCCACCAAGAAGAGGTTTAACCCAATAATAAGTTAAACTTTTATGCGTTTTATTAGATAAAAGTTAAATTTTACAAGTCTGCGATCTTATCAAAGCGATTTCCATCTTTAACAATAAAAAAGCTTCAAAAACATCACATTGTCAGGGTCGATTGCTAGAAGCAATATCAGCTGCATCTGTTAGGCTCAAGAGGTGGCAGCATCATGCTGTGGGCATGCTTCACTTCAGCAGAAACAGATGCAGCCGAATTGAAGGAGGTAATCGATTTCTAGCCTGAGGGGGTAGGAAAAAGCATATCCCTGTGCTAGATCGGCCATGTCAAACCCGGTGTGACGCTAGACTTATTCAATTCAGTTTATATATACAACGCCAATTCACAAAAAAATAATAATTGAACTTCTGCATTTAACACATCCCCTTGGTTAGTAGTGGGCTGTCATTGTGCAGAGCCCAGGGAGCAGTGTGGGGTTAAAGGTCTTACTCAGGGACCCAGAGTGCAGGCTGTGGGAAACGAACCGGATACTTACAACCTTCTGAGAGCACCAGTGCACAGCTCTAAACACTAGAACAACACTCCCCCAAAAAGCACTTTACAGACACAATTCAACCAGCTGGTTTCCCAGCTGGTTGCATCAACTCACTGACATCAATCCCTCACACTGAGCATGCATGTAGCGACAGCGGAGAGGAAAAATTCCCTTTAACAAGGAACCTCCAGCAGAATCAGGCCCAGTGTGAAGGTCAATTTATGCTTCTGACGCATAGCCTCAGCATCCCCCAAATCTCTCTCTGTGCGCAACCACACCCCCACACAGAGCTTCTGCAACCGTCGTCGAGCGCCTCAAAAAAATCCTGACCACGCGTCGGAGGGGCGTAAACCAGCACAGAACTCAAGTGAATTGCGCAGACAAAAAGCAGCTGTGATTGGTCCTTCACATGCCTTTCCGGCTGTCTGTGTGGTCGTCCTTCTCGAGGGACGACCACTCCAGGGTGCGCCATTTTTAAAAACCGAGGAACAACTACGACGAAAGGTTAATAGGTCTTTTTGCCAACTCTATAAACAGAACCTGTTCCTCTTCGATGTCTAGCAACTCTAGATCTATCTCCATGACCGTGATATCTTGCAGACGCGCCATTATTGTTTTGGAAGATAAACACTCTTGCCAGTTCTCGAACAGGCTTCCCCCTTGCGCTTTGGCGGGAAACTGCTGTGCGTCCCTAGTAATTCCAGACCGACGTTGCAGAAGCATACCAGCAAGACAGGTTCGCGACCAGAACCAAGCGACATTTGATGTGTGCGGTTGCAGAAGTATAATCTGCCCTTTATGGTCAACAAGTCAATTTGGTGGTCCTGGAAAACAAAAAAGACTGTCCTGTTAAACCATCACAAATGAAAACATCTAGAGTTTGCTCTAGGTTGGTTTGGTGGTAAACAAATGAGGAGTACCTCAGGTCCGTTTTTATGTAGGACTGTTTCTGTTGTATCACAGGGTCTTTGAAATACATTCACATTTTAATTAATATTATATTAGAGTACTAATAGAGTTGCAGAAGTATAATTTGCCCTTGAGCAGGAGGACTGAAAGCATAGAAACATGCCTCCGTTAGAGGAATGAATGGTGGTGGCAGCATTATGCTGTGGGGGGTAATTCTACTACCTTTTGGAAAGTGGTCCTGTTACAGTTTGAGCTACATTTGTTTAGATTTAAGCATATCAGGAACGACAGAGGCTTTAATCTGATAGGTTTCTTTGACGATGCCTGCAAATGTCCATTGAACAATGTGACGATCATGAGTTTTTAAGTTTCCACCCCGTAGATCCTCCCCCCAGAGCCACCGTGCAGGGCTTGGTGCCATCCAGCGGGTGACGAGGCATCACCTGGGTCCCCTGCAGCTGCCTCACCGACTTGTTTGGCTTCTAAGCTGCCAAACCAAGACGAGCCGAAACAGAAACAAAACAGAGCATTGTGTAAGCGTAGCGATTGGGTGACTCATCGTGGAGACCCGCTCTGAGGGAACAGTGGAACTGGATGTACCAAAACATGACCCAGAAGCGGGGCTCGTCCTTACATAAGCCTGCACCGCGCCATCTACCTGCCTGCGTTCACACAAAGCCGCTCCTCCAAATAAAAAAGGTCAGCGTCTCCGCGGCTTGTTTTCATCCAAATGTTACAAGCAGCTGGCGTGGACCGTGGAACTGACGAGGAGCAGTCGGCTGTGGGTCTGTGTGAGGACGCTACGGTGGCCGGGGTGTCGCGATAAAACGACACTTCGCGGACAATAAGTTAACAATTTGGAAACAGCTGACAGCGAGGGTCCGACTAATAAACGGCTTTAAGAGCCACATAAACATGTTAAAACAAACCTGCCTACAGAGTTTATACAATAAACCAACTGCTTGCTAATCAAAGCAGCTCACACTAGTAGTATTAACTGTCAGTGAGAGGTTACATTATAAAGAAAATAAAATAAACTCACGTCTGGCTCGATTCCTCCATCATGGTGTACTGATCTGTGGCCACATAGGGAAGAGGTGTTGGGGGGGGAAGCTGTAACTCACCGTGACTAAGCATTGTGTCGAGCCTCCCATGCGCTTTCACAATAAGAGCCTTTCTTTAGAGCGCGAGGTCCGCCTCTGTGTACGTGTAATGGAGGGTGACTACGTCATCAGAGAGGGGACTTTTAGTTTGAAGGAATTCTCAGAATGAAGGAAAAGCGGGCCAGAACTTAAACCACTGCCAAAACATGCAGCCCATTCAGGGTAATATTATTTAATGCATAGTAAACGCTGATGAACAGTACCTTGGGAGTTGAAAGAATATATACAATTGCAGAAAACCTCGATTTCAACTAAAGTTAATGATACATATTTAATATATTGAATATCTTTATATAATTAACAAACACTGTTTAAACAGGATTTCCAATCTTAGGATTTAAATGTCAAATTTTGAAAAAAAAAAAAAAAATCTATCTATCTATCTATCTATC